GGTCTGATACCAGAAGGTATAATAGTAAATTTGATTTCACTCAGATTGACAACTGGTGATTTTGATTACTGCCTGTTAAACCACATCTGTTTATAACTTGCAACCATTATTTTTTGATTTACCGTTTTAAAATTTTAAAATCAGAGGTGATATCAGGAGGTCTCGTTGAGGGGGGTTGGTTGGTGCACCTCCTCCCTCTTTAATGAATAACAGTGGGGAAAAGATAAAACATGTTGTTGACAGAAACGGTAAACGATAGCATAGAGAATTGTGCAACAAAAACTGGATTAAACAGGCTTTACATTGTGTAATGGTTCTTCATCCCATCTGAATGATTAGACGGTGGCCTAATCAGTTCCTAGACATTTAAAGAGAGAGAGAGAGAGAGTAGAGAGAGAAATAGGGTTTAACATCCACTCGACACAAACTAGGTAATTTAGGACTAACATATGGTTCAATTTTATTTCAAGAATTCGATTACGCTGTGGTGGGAGTGGGGGGGGGTCAAGGGGGGCTTTATGGGCACGTTTGTCATTGGCTTCATCTTGCGTCCAATGGAAAGGGTGCGGTTCAGCACTAGCTACAGGCCTGATACTTTGACCCTTTCGGTGCAGAACAGTAAGATATTTATAACCCCATTTCATTTTATTTCATTTTTTTTGATTCTGATGTGAGATACAAGAGTGTATTAGTTGTTGACCATATGATGTTTGTATTATTTTTATCAGTGATATATTTATCAAATATGGCAGTCGGTAATCATGCCACCATATCTGTTTATAGTCAACTTATCATCCCTTCAAGACATTTCATCAAATAGATTTCTTTTTCACTTACATATATCTTGTTTTAATAAATATTTTACATGATTTAAATAATCAACGTGACACTTGTTTTTAGAAAGGAACCAATATCTTATTCTTTTTGATAACAATGATTTGTTATGATGAGAACCAGGGTTGGTGGGTGTGGGGGCCATGGCGCTTGCTGGCTTACTTACCAGGCGAATTCTCAGTGTTGTCTGAGAAAGTTAGGGGGGTGGGTGGCCGAATGGTTAATGTGTGCGTGTTGCATCATAAGGTCTGTCATTGAGTAAAGCGACATGACAAGGGTTTTCTCTGGAACCTCCGGTTTCCTCCCACTGCTAAAGACCCCTACGAGCAAGCATATTAATGAGATGAAATTGAACTATATTTTAGTCCCAAAATGACCTGGGGGTTGGGTGGCCGAACGGTTTAAAGTGAGCGCGTTAAATCACATCCTCTGTCATTAAGTCAAGTGACGGATTTTGACTTCCGCTTGTACATGACAAGGAGTAGCTATAGTGCCTATAGGGTCGCCTGTCAAACCCTGTGGGTTTTCTCTGGGTCATCCGGTTTCTCCCAACTGCTAAAGAAATAAAATTGAATCATATGTTAGTCCCAAAATGACATAGTTTGTGTGGATTCGGGGTTGAGCTCCATTTCTCTCTCTCTCTCTCTCTCTCTCTCTCTCTCTTTTTCTCTCTCTCTCCTCAAGGATGGATATCAAAATGAGAGTTAGCCGTCACGGAGCAGAACAGTAGGACGTTAAACCCCATTTCATTTCATTTCATTTCAGTTAGCACTCAAAATTTCCCAGCATACTGCAACTGTATGATGTACGCCCATGAAGTATATTACACTAATTTATCTTTTTATAAGACTCTGAAGTTGATTGAAGTAAGTGATCACTAAAAACAATAAAATATAGTCTCGTTTACTTTTTAAACGAATGTACATTTAAAAAAAACGGTCATATTTCGAGAGTACAATTTTTAGATTTGAATGTCAAGAAGGTGTATAGAAAGAGCCCTGCCGTGACTTGTATTATCCCAAGAAGTCTGACCCTTGCTACCATATTGCCCTTTCATTGATAACGCCATATATATGTTCCATAAATTGGAAGAAATTTATGACATAAGGTTGTCTTATCTTGTAATACACAAAATAATTCACATTTCATACAAGCCTAATGTCTTTATCAATTTGAATACAGACAGGATTTGAAGACGATAAAGAAGTGAATGGTTATTATTTGACAATATTAACTTTTTATCCATCGAAATAAGAAATCTTACTTCGGGTTTCAAAGAATATAAAGAAATGAAACGGTTATTATTTGGAGATATTAACCGTTTTTTTCACTGTAGATTAAATTATTAAACTGTATCGTTTACTGTTAAAGCTTAAACAGTATTGAACACAGGCATAAATCTGACAGTTGAGTTAGGTACAGATTATCATCAGAATTCATCTGACCACATTAATAAAATTGTATAAATTTATCTATTCCAATTATTTATTATTTTAAAGATACATTATGTAAGATTTAGATAAAGAGCTAGCCATTCTTACTATAATAGTTTCGAAAATAGATAATGTAAAATGAATAATTTGAAAATTTCATTCAAATTACTCTATTGCGAGCGAAGATATTAGCCTTTGAAGGTTTGACAAGACGAGTGCAATAGTTGTTCAACCATCGCACTGGTTGTTTGAAGCTAAAGTCTTGCTCCTCCATTTGTAGCTTAAATCAAAATATGGCTGAACTGTTCTAATCTATTTAATCTATTTAAATTAATTTAAAATGTCTAATTAATAATTTAGAAAACATTTCTGGCCTAAAGAAAGACCTGCAATAGGCAGATTTAGCTCTTGCATAATGTATGTTTAAAGTAACTTGTTTTAAGAAAAAGTGAATAAGGGTTTTGTACAAAGACATAAAATGAATAAAATGTGACAGTTTCAGTTTGAGAAAAAGATCATATCTAGAATTCTTCTGACCATGTTAATAAAATTGTATAACTGTTATCTTTTCCGAATACTAGTTATTTTGATGTTATTGTTTTAAGAACAAAGGAATAAAGGCTTTGTATTTGAGTGTCCAAAAAAGTTTGAATTTTGGGAAAAAACGTCTTTAGAATTCTTCGGACCACATTAATAAAATTATATAACTTTTATCTTTTCTGATTATCCATTTTTCAAGTAATTATTTTAAGAAAAGGGAATAAAGGCTTTGTGGTTGAGAGTCCCAAAAGAGTTTCAAAATAAAAACTTCTTTGGTTAAAATACAATAAAGGATTCTTATCCAATTTTGATTCTGACATGGGTGGACATTTATTCCGGTTACAATGCACCATGATATGCATGATAGATATATGTGATTGACCTCACTGGCTTTAGTTAAATGTAATATTATGGAGATGGTGCCAAAAGTTAAATGTCAAGAGAAAGAAATAGGATTTGGAAATAATTTTTATTGTGTTGTAATTTGTTGTCAAAATCCTAGTGATTCAAACATTGGTCATTTTCCATTGCACGGTTTGGGCAGAAAACATTTGACCTACACCAATGGAAATGGTTATTATTTTATCTAATAATAATAATATACATTCATATAGCACTTAATCTATTAAAGATGCATGCTCTAGAGAGAGATCAGAGAGAGAAATAGGGTTTAATGTCCACTCGACACAAACTAGGTCATTTCGGGACCACATATGGTTCAATTTTATTTCAATAATTCGCTGGCGCATAGGGGTCTTTAGCAGTAGGATGAAAACCGGAGGAACCCGAGAAAACCCATGAGGTTAGACAGGCGACGCTACTCCTTACCACGTACAACCGGGGAATCAAAACCAGGCCAGTTGACTCAATGGCTAACCATTCACCCATCCAAGCCCCCCACCCCTCTTTTCATTTTGTAGATCCCATTAACAACTTGACTTGAACATTATTTGTCAAGATCCTTTCTAAATTTCAATCTGTCTTCATTAGCCCAGTCGATGCAAAAAAATAGAATGTTTAATCCGATTTCATTTTATTTCATGTCTTTAAGATCATGCCAGATTATAATCCATACTCTCTGATATCTTTGCTCAATTTTAATCCATTCTCTGCGTAAGATCTCCCCAGATTTCTACATGTGTTCTCTTTTATAAGATTGTTCAGTCCATACGCTTTAAAATCTTAGTTTCTATAATCCATACTCTCTGATATCTTTGCTCAATTTTAATCCATTCTCTGAGTAAGATCTCCCCAGATTTCTACATGTGTTGTCTTTTATAAGATTGTTCAGTCCATACGCTTTAAAATCTTAGTTTCTATTATCCATACTCTCTGATATCTTTGCTCAATTTTAATCCATTCTCTGCGTAAGATCTCCCCAGATTTCTACATGTGTTGTCTTTTATAAGATTGTTCAGTCCATACACTTTAAAATCTTAGTTTCCAACCAATCTTATTAAGATCTCTTTAGATTCTGATCCATCGTCTTTCAGATCATGCTTGTACGTGACAAGGGGTGTTGGATGGCTGAATGGTTAGCGTGCGCGCGCTGTATCATAAAGTCTGTCATTAAGTCGACTGGCGTGGTTTCGAATCCCCGGTTGTACGTGGCAATGAGTAGGGTCGCCTGTCCAACCTCGTGGGTTTTCTCCGGGTCCTCCGGTTTCCTCCCACTGCTAAAGACCCCTACGCGCAAGCGAATTATTGAAATAAAATTAAACCATATGTTAGTCCCGAAATGACCTAGTTTGTGTCGAGTGGACGTTAAACCTCATTTCTCTCTCTCTCTCTTTCATATCATGCTTGTACGTGACAAGGAATATTGAAATAAAATTAAACCATATGTTAGTCCCGAAATGACCTAGTTGTGTTGAATGGACGTTAAACCCCATTTCTCTCTCTCTCTCTTTCTCTCTTTTTCAGATCATGCCGGATTCCCATCCAATCTCAAGATCTTGTTAAATTCAAATCCATTCTCTTTGGGATCTTGCATTCATGATTTCAGATAACATATGTATGTTGAAGAACAATAAGAAATTGTTATGAATGAAACTAAGGTTAATGGAAGTTTATATAATAATTTCGAATCAATATGGCTTCTAGGTAAGCTAATTACAGATGAGTTTAAAGAATACTTGAACTACTAAGAACAAATGGTGCCAAACTCTTAACAATTCTGCTTTTCCTTTTCAGTGTGGTAAAAGCCTTAGAAATGTGTATGGATAACTCCTGCTAGTTCCAAGACTAATGATAAATGGCCGATACAAGTACCCGAACACCTGAACTCGATAATATTTAAAAGGTATGTAATTTATGTTTCTGTTGTATTATAAATATTGATTTCAGTAGTAAGACACTATCGGGCACACCTTTTCTTGATTTCATCGATAACATACCTAATGATAAATTCACATGGAGTTGTTAACCGAAGTTAATATTTAGGAGATAGGGGATCACGGTGGCTAAGCGGGTAAGACACTGGCTTGCTAGCCTGGAGGTCGGGTTTTCGATCCCTGCATTGGCCTTGAGAAAGTTCATCAAGATTTTCCGGCTTGGTTCCCCTTTATCAGTAATGCAGAACAGAGGGCCTGACAAGGACACCTATCTAGTCATTTGGATGGGATGAAAAACCGAGGTCCCGTGTACACATTGACGTGCACATAAAAGATCCCTTGACAGTTGGAATTCGATATAAGAGTAGGCCGTAGTACCGCTGTCCGGGCAAAATTTCCCTCGTAGCACACTGTATGACGTATGCCTGTCGTCATTAGCCCAGTTCGGAGCAGAACAGTAGGACGTTAAATTTCATTTCATTTATTTAGGAGATAAATGCTTCCTGTTTCAAATTTAGATGGGTGTCAGGATTAGGATTAGTATCCAAGGTTAACATTGAATATGGCTTCTAAAAATCTATTTTAGTTAATCTTCATTTGAACCCAATTATATTCAAAGTCTAAATCCTTATCGTTAAACTTAGATAGGGTTTTCATCCACTTACACTGCGAATGATATCGCAGACGGTCCTAAATCAATTGAGTCACTCTTATTATAAACTCTGATACTTCACCACAAAATTCAGCCCTGCTGACCAATACTGGCAATTTGATTGGTCAATAAGTTCACAAGAAATGGCCCCGAGTTCCCAAAGCATTCTCCGACTTAAGTTAAGAAGTTACTCAACTTTCAATCACTGTTTATAAGAAATATCTTTGATCTAGAAACACAAAAAATTGCACACAGTTTCAATTTTGAGTAAATTCTTAACTTAAGCCTGAGAATGATTTGTAAACTTAGGGCCTGGACACACTACTTAAAAGGCTTCAGATGTACTGTAATGGAATACTACCCCCACCCCCAAGAAACTTAATTAACATCCAATTTTAATTAGATAGTGTGTTTTAAAGAGTATATAATTGGTCTGTGTGAGCTCGGCTTAATGAAAATTAGCTTTCAGAACTAGTTATGAGAATTAGTTAAATCTTATATAGCATGTATATTATTTCTAATAGAAAGCTTTAATAAAAACTATCAAGTTTGAGTTACTTTTGAAAATTAGTTAAAAACTATTTCGTAGTACAGTAGAATCTGTACGAGCAGCCACTCCTATTCAGCAACATCTCCTTGTAAGCGGTTACGATAAATTCACCCCGTAGAAATTCTATTGTTTCATCTCTTTAATCAACGGTCACTCCTCTAACACAGCCAGCAGTCACTATTATACTAATAAATTTGACAAAACATTGTCTATTCAATGGCCATTGTTGAATGATACCATCTTAACATACTTCACACGTACAAAAACATTATTTGATACTGATTGAATAAACTAAAAGTACTGTCAAAGTCCACAATCATCTGGTATCTATTTTTCATTACCGCTTTGTGTCTAGATAGAAGTTTTAGTGCCACCTATATTACATACAGAGTTACACCCCCTGAAATGTTTTTTGGACATGTGCCTGTTCGATAAAATAAAATAAATTTATGGATTTTCTTCAAAAATGGATAAATATTATCGAATACATCACAATGGTAGACAGTAGTATCAATATTGGTACAAAATGAAACGTTTACAGAAGTTATATCAGAGATTCGTGTCTAATAATTTTCGTTCCAAGCAGGTTTCAGCGACGGCCAAATTTACCGATGGAAGTATTATTGATGTTTGCTCCCAATGCATCCAAGCGTAAAATTTACTTGACGTCAGCACTAACACTGAGATTGTATTAAGAGGTCACTCATGAAAATTCCCTTGAGTGGCTGCTTAATACAGATTCTACTGTATATATTTTTAGTTGAATGGATTAATAAAAACCTGCATAGTTGAATTACTGTGAGGAATTCGTTAAATCTCTTACAATACTGGGGCCTGTTTCACGAAATTTTAACTAAGATAAAATCCAAATTTTAGTAATTTGATTGGATAATATTAGATTGATTTTAGTGCTTAATCAATCAAAATTGAAGTATTTACTAAAATTGGATTTTATCTTTAGTTAAAATTTCGAGAAACGGGGGCCTTGGTATATATATTTTTAGTCCAAGGGAGTAATAAAAACTAACAAGTTTGAGTTAAATCTGATACATGTATATTATATTTCTAGTTGTAAGGATTAATAAAAAACAATGTCTGTCAGATTGAGTTAACTAGGAGAATTAGCTAAAGCTGATGCAGTAATATTTCTAGTGAAAGAGATTAAAAAAAACTGTCAGATTGAGTTAATTATTTAGCTAACGAGTTTACCAATTAATCAGAGGCAAAACAACTCAAAACAAGATGATCATAAAAATTACACGACGGCTTCTAGCTAATTCCTTATAATGTGACGGTAATCCGTGTCCTAAGAACTCAACGTTTTTTGTTAATCAATAGCTTTTGACAGATTTATAATTGAATGATGTACTGCGACGAGTACTGGGTAAACTTGCGTCCAATAAAAAAAAACTGAGGATATTATCTTTTGTGCAAAAAGGGAACTTTTTTAGATGGTTAAATTTATAAAGATGCCATTTTTGAAGAATTGACAACATTATTTCATCAAGAGAGCAGTAGAAATATCTTGAAATATTTAGCAAGAAGACATGTTTGGCTTTTGAAGTGAAAGACATATTGATAAAAGCACTTCGTTCGTGGCAGTGAAGGATTTCCGACTGACACATGAAGGTGAATTATTCTTCTGTTGGGTGACGGTAAAATCAACATTATTTTCATTTACCATCAAAAACTCAAGATGTCAGATGTTAATCATTTCATAATTCTTATCCACAGAAAACACGGGAGTAAGATCTTCATCAAGAAAGGTTTTTTTTTCTTACGTGGAAAAAGTTATTTTTGGTTCCATCTTTATGCAATGGTTAAAGAGGCTTTATCATTCTCACAAAATTTATAAAAAAAAAATGAAATGAGGTTTAATGTCCTACTGTTCTGCTTCAACTGGGCTAATGAAGATGGGCTTACGCCATACAGTGTGCTATGAGGGAAATTATGCCTGGACCCTGGTGCTAAGGCCTACTCTTATATCAAATTCCAACTGCCAAGGGATTTTTACTTGCATGCAAATGTGTACAGGGGACCTCAGTTTTTCATCACATCCGAATAACCAGACAGCTGTGCATTTTTAACTGTGGTTCTAGCACCATACAGGATCTTATCACCGCTTGCGTTCTCTTCTCTACTTGTCTTGTGGACAGGTCATTTGTGACCAGAATCAGCCATTCGTGACCACAACTTGACGAAGCTTGCTAGATACCGTAGTGTTGTTTAGAAAAAAATCTAATTTTTTATGGCTAAATCTATGCTAAAAAGTATTTGAATCGATTATTTATCATTTAATTAAGAAAATGAAATGAATGATAGATAATCGCCTGGATTAACAAGAGGCCCATCAAATGATTTTTCCTTGAAAAACTACTAAAACCTGTACAGCTAATAAAGAGAGAGAGAAAAATGGGGTTTTACATCCACTCGACACAAATTAGGTAATTTCGGGACTAACCTATAGTTTAATTTTATTTCAATAATTCGCCTGCGCGTAGGGGTCTTTAGCTGTGGGAGGAAACCAGAGGACCCGGAGAAAACCCACTAGGTTGGACAGGCAACCCTACTCCTTGTCACGTACAACCGGGGATTCGAAACCACGCCAGTTGACTCAATGACAGGCCTTATGATACAGCACGCACGTGCTAACCATTCGGCCATCCAACCCCCCCATACAGCCAAAAAAGTAACATCTATCATCCCTGCAACGGATAGGCAGAGCAATCTCAAATTTTTCAATAAACCCTGAATTTTTTTGGTTTTTGTTTTACTCAGCTGATGCAGATGATCGAAGTGTTAATGCCTCTTTAAGAACATGTCTATGTTAAAAGCAGTGTTTGTAAATATCTTCGTTAGTTAGTGCGGAAGCTGTCACTATTGGTATGTTAGACAAGACAAGATATGTTCTGTAATAATGTTTGTAACTGGCAGTTGCCATTTTACGCAACATATCTTTCATATTATAGATCTCCATCTTGATCTTCTGGTGGCACAGAGTTATCTGGCCCTGTTACACCTGCCCTTTTTACCTAGAAAAATGACAATCTGCAACCTAACGCTGCCTCGTAATCGAATGCAAGCAGCATTCCTGACTGACATGTAAGACCTTGGTAACGTGATCCAGTTTGTTTCTCAGCTTGTCATCACATTGTGCAACCATCTTGATAGCCGTCTGCCTTATAAACGCACGCTTGTTATACATATACCTATGTTGACGGTGTCGGGGTCATAGGGGTCACGATATAACAGTTTTTCCACAGTTTGTTGCAGAAATATTACCTATCTGATGCCAAGTTAAATGATACAACATGTTCTTATGTACATGTTTACATAGTTTGTATCGATGTTGCCCCTCGTTCACATGGGATAAATATCTTGAGGGAATTATTAGCGTTTTTTTGTTGGTTGTTTGAGGTGCAGAAATATGTTGTAAGAAAAACAATGTGATGTCATCAATTCAACGCTAATTACAGCAGCAGTTCTTTTTATCAGACACGTCTGCTACGTGGACCCATTCCTCTTTCATATTTTCTGAAAAGATAAAAAGCCAGAATTTTTTTGTCAGAAGGCAGATTCTGGCACACATGATTTTCCAGTATTATTCTACTTAAAAATATCTGTTCTTGAATACAACATATGGAAGGCTCCATGTGGTTGCACGCAGATGCATTGGCACATTTTTTTGGTTCCAAATTATTACATATTTATTGTAACTATTGGAAATAACATCATCTTTTCATAGACCCAATCATCCAGTCCAGCCT